CATTAGGAATTACTTTAGTAGTGATTCGACTTAACTTGTTATACTCAGCCTCGTACTCATGTATGGCTTGATCACCTTGTTTCAGGTTAAGAAATTTCAGTAGCATCGCCGGCATAAACTATTCACCAATGTACTTGTTCTTGAATTCATCCTGAAATAACTGTCAAGTTATTTGCTCATGCAGTGCATACATCATGGTGTTCATCCACCATAATCGGACTGATACTCGGAGTAAAGATATAGCTCTATCCAGTTTCACAGAATCTGAGCAGTGATGATTTTCAAGCTTCACCTTGATGTCGTTTAACCATAAGTCAACATATATGGGACCTTCATCTTCTTCTCCCATGAACTCAGGTGCTCCTAAACTTTTCAACTTTTTTGGAATTAACATATGTGGTCCTAAAGGAGTAGGTAGAGGTAGAGGAGATAGATATCAAGCAAAGATCACATCGAGAGCATGCAAAAATGTTATAGATCTTGCACTGGCATTCCCTGATGTACCGGTACGCCAGCGTGTCCAGACTGGGCCAGATGCTCACTATTAACTTCATTACTTTCGCTACCTGACCCTTCTCAAACTTCTTGTTCGGTCGCTCTCCATGAACATCTAATACGACACACATAAAAATAACAACTTAGGTTAGTAAGAAGTGACATCAATCATATCCTATCGACACCTTATCAGTAACTTTGACATTCTAATGACATGTATACCCTTTTAATGTGAAATACACCAGATTCTGGCCAAGAATCGGCTAAACCTGTAGAATTGATACCAATAAATGTAATACCCATTTCCCGTATACGTCCCCGTACACAAGTCACAGATGTCACATGACTTTTAAAATATTTTCGTACTTGAAAACCAGTAAAATTTTGTTTATTTAAATAAATGATTTAGTAATATAGTTTACAAAACATTCTTCAAATACATATATATATATAATAACGTTTAAAATCCATCAAACAGTAGTTTATGTTTGAATATAATATAATATTACAACCCATATGTCAAATACATACCAGAACATCATTATATAACTAATACATGCCAACTAGTAATATTAAAAGTAAACATCTAAAGATGTCATACAGTTACTGATGAGGCAACCTTGATTTACGATGTCAGTTTCACTCCTTACTCCGGCTGTACACTATTACCTACACTTGAAAATCATAACCCACTAAGTATTCACTTAGTGAAGCATAATATAATAAATGAGGCATATTAAAACATAAGCATTTCATAAAAGATCAAAATACGAGTTTAATCGTATAAAATATATTAACGCATAAAACTGCCTTGATAGACAAATTTTCCATCAAATAACCTGCGAAATAATATTTTGTATGCCTAGCATACTTATAAATCAATATATTCCAAAATATCCATTCACAACCCAATGTATGAAAAATGAGAATGCAAGGTACACAATAACATAATTCTAACTTTTTGGAATAATAATCCCATATGATTACCATCCTTGCACACAAAGTTCCACAGTACACAAAGTCCTACTCCAAGTACACAAAGTACTCTTATAAAAATGCAATAATGCATTTTCTAAAAAAATGATAGATATCCATCTCACACCAAGTATGCCAATTACATATATAATGCTACAATACACAAAGTACTACTACAATACCACCTTATTTATGATATTATTATTACACCTATGACTCTCCATGTTCATAAAGTAGGCTTTAAAATCCAAATCGCAAGTTAAACATTTATTCCAAACTATCAATAAATAATAATTTGTATGAAACACATCTATTCATTTGAGGGCATTTCATACCCTAAAATCATTCGTAAAAATCATTTTCATAAACTTTATGAACATACGGTAAAACATGCTTTTAACATTCAAGGTTGACTCATCGTAAGTCGTTCTCATATCATATAAGTACATAATAAATGCACTCACCTACTAGGCCTCACTATTATACCTAACTGACGAAGTCCAACTATTCTTGAACTTTTTCATTGCCTTTTGGCTTGTTTGTTTCACGAATTTGATCACTATCTACACAAGCATCCATAATCACATATACAAAGATAAAATAATAGTATCCTTACTAACATTTTTACAAAATAATAATACTTAAAAGTACTATTATTTTCGAATTCTTTTAATTTTCATCTTAACATTTCTTTTTTATTTATAATGTGCCTTTGTCATAAATTTTTCAATTCAAGCCCAAATAAGCACAATAATTTCCAAGCATTTAATTTTCATCCCAATACCTCAACAATTCTATATTTACCACTTAAGTCATTAACTTTTCCAATATTTGCCATTTTGTACTTAAACTTTGACAAATTTCCAAAATGGCTATTTTCACATTCTAACTTCAATTTCAGCCCTCAAACAATAATTTCTAGCAATGTACATCAATTATTGAGTAATTACACATTCATACCATAATTTTTTAAAATTGCAAAATAGGTCCCTCAACTTTTGAAAAATTAAAAAATGACCCAAAATATTTTCTAAGGCTTGTAGAACCTTCCAAATATCATTTCTAAGCCATGAGAAATTTTCCACAATTATTCCCAACCTATTTCCTCAAGTTTGAATGGTATGTAGTTTAGGGTTCAGGATTTTCGCTAGGTTTGAACATGAAAGCAACCTCGATTCAACATTTCAAGACCTCTAGAATCAAATTCCTAATCAAATTTCATCAAAACACTTCTTTCCCCTTAAAGCTAAGGTTTGGCCGAATTCAACATGTGCTTATGTAGCCATGTACAAGTGATTTTAATCATCAATCATGCTTGTATATGATTCTACAACCTCAAAAAAAAATCAAAATCATTCATCAATTATATAAACCCTAATGTAAAGACAAACCCTAAAATTTGGAATCTTTCAACACAAACCAAATTAGCAAGCAATAATGATGCCAAATAATAGCGTTTTTCGAATAAAATAATTTTCTATTTCATGGCATAATCCAAAATCCAAAGGAAATTGCTCAAAAATTGAAAAGAAAAATTTTCTTACCTTAGGAGGAGACTCACGACAACGGTGGCTGAAAATTACTCATCTTCATTAAATTTTCCTTTAATTTCATATTTGTTTAACCTTTATTTAAGCTTAAATGAATATTTACAATAATATCAAGCTGCATAACCTTATCAGCTTTCCAAAGTCAAAGATGAACCAAATATTTTACCCTTTTCCAATATTACCAAGCAACTTTCCAAAAATTACAATCTTGCCACTTTGATCCAATGGTCCAAATTAAACATGGAATTAAATCTTCAAATACAATTATCCATATTATTTCCCATCATTTTAATATGTGTAAAAAATATTTTTAAGCCTATATCATCTTTCAAAATTTCCTAGAAATTTGACATGATCTGATTATCCAGATTTTTCTCAAACTTTATCGTTTTATAAATTTTAATATAAAATCCGTACAAAAAAATTTGATTCCCGTGAAAACTCCATTCTTGGCGGTAAACTATTCATTTACGGAGCTGAATTACAAATTTTTTAAAATTACACTTCAGTCCCTAAACTTTTCCAAATTTTATACTTTAGCCTCTTAACTTTCAAAATTTACATTTTGGCCACTAACCAAAATCTGGGATATTACAACAATACTCCGATTAGAGGGGAAAATCTAGTTGGGAGGTTAATCAGAATGGTGTTCAAATTCGAAACCAACTGGATGTTAGATTACATTCCGGTTCTTTTCTTGTAGAGTAGGCTCATCAATTATTGAAGTTAAGAACGAGGGAGGTAGTATGGATACTGGTAATGGCCATGTTACTAAAATGGTGACTCTCCAAGCGAAAGGTGGTACTGTCGTGAGTAGCAGTCTAGTGGATTGGATCTTCATTGATGATCGAGGAAGTGCCGCGCAAGCTAGTGAACAGTAAGCCGTTCTGGTCAGTTTATATATTTTTGATGTCGTTTGATTTTTTGAACTGTTAAGGTGTTTCTAGCCCTAATTTTCGGAGAATTTTGAGAGATTTGTCCCGAGAGAATCGGGTGGATGTGGTTGCCCTTTTTGAGACTTGGATCTCTAGTCGAACTGCTGCTGTGACCATCTCTAAGTTTGGGTTAGAAAATTTGTTTCGTGTGGAAGCTCACGGTTTTAGTGAGGGTATCTGGCTTTTGTGGAAGGATACAGTGCGCATGGATTTTTTACACATTTCGAATCAGTTTATTCATGGTAGAGTTAATTTTGGAAATGGTACTGAATGGATTTGCTTTACAGCTATGTGTGCGAACCCTCATGTGTATAAAAAGGCATCATCTATGAGATCAAATTAGCAACTTGGATCCTGGTGGTGATGTCCTCTGGTTACTTGGTGGGGATTTTAACGAAATTTCGAAAGCGAGCGAAAGGTCGGGGGTCGGTCTCCTAGCTACAAAGGGTGCAAATTATTCTCGGGCTTTCTTCTGTGTTGGTTTGGTTGATTTAAGTTTTGTTGGTCCTCCGTTCACTTGGTCTAGAGGAGCCCTTCATCAGCGCCTTGATCGTTGTCTTGTGAGCTCGAACTGGTTGTCTAAATATCCAGGGTCTTAAGATTTTTCATCTGGATCAGATTGGTCCTGTCCTTTATTTCTTTAGCTGGTTTCACATGAGAAAGGTAATATTAATCGAACTTTTCGTTTTATTGCTGCATGAAAGGATCACACTCAAATTTGTGTGATAAAAATAAAACTAAAAATAACATTAACTATGGTCTAAAAAAATTGAGTGAAAAAGAAATAAATAATAGGTGAATAACATAATACTTATTTTACCCAAATTTGTATAGATATGTGTGAGAATAAGGAAGTGAAGTGGAGCTTCTCAAACTTGAGTCGAGTCCCCTAACGAAGGGGAAACAACAAGCTACCACGTGCACTAACCTAAAGCCAATAAGGTACCTAGAGAAATGGAAATGAAAGCCAAAATAAGGTGCCCACAGAAATGGAAAGGAAGCCAATGAGCAGCTTCGTACGCTTCGTTCTCACCCTTTCCTTAGTAGAAACCACCTTTTGAGGAATCCACACGCTAATCCAAAAAAAATCAGCTCAAATAAATTCCACTTCCTCTGCTTCCTCTTCTTCATCTGGCGAATGACGGACTATCAGTTAGCACCCGCCATGAATCGTTGGACCGACGATAATTCTTCTGTTATGGAAGCTTTCATGGCCTTTGATCTCTCTTCTGTATGGCCTCCTCCACCTCAATCATCTGCATCCACTTCCACTTCCACACCTCCTGCTCCTGCTTCCCTCAATCAAGAGTCTCTCCAGCAGCGTCTCCAAGCCCTCATCGAAGGGGCTTGCGAGAGCTGGACTTACGCCATCTTCTGGCAGTCTTCCTACGATTACTCCGCCCCTACCGTGCTTGGTTGGGGCGATGGGTATTACAAAGGCGAAGAGGATAAAGGAAAAACTAAGTCCAAAGCCACTTATCCTCTCGCAGAACAAGAGCACCGTAAAAAGGTGCTTCGAGACCTTAACTCCTTGATTTCCGGATCCACCGCTCCAGCCGACGATTCCGTCGACGAAGAAGTCACCGACACCGAGTGGTTCTTTTTGCTTTCCATGACCCAGTCTTTCGTCAACGGAAACGGGCTTCCGGGACAAGCCTTTTTCAATTCGAGTCCGGTTTGGGTTGTTGGGTCAGACCGGCTAGCGAGCTCTGTCTGCGAGAGAGCGAGGCAAGCTCAGGTTTTCGGTTTCAAATCGATGGTTTGTATGCCGTCGGCAAGTGGAGTTGTTGAGTTAGGTTCAACTGAACTTATCACCCAAAGCTCAGATCTGATGAACAAAGTCCGGGTTTTGTTTAATTTCAGTATCGGAATTGAAGCTGGTCCTGCTGATCAAGGCGAAAATGATCCTTCTTCACTTTGGATTAGTGATCCAAATCCTGGGATCGAGTTCAATAATAGCGATCAGCATCAGCAGATTCACAAGTCACCTCAGTTCTGTGACAACCCAAGTTCCAGTAGTTTAACCGAGAATCCGAGTTCCATTCCTACTGTAAATCATCATTATCAGCAGCAGCATAATCATCCGCTGGGGCAGAGTTTATTCTTGAATTTTTTGGATTATGGCTTTGATGGTAGCAGCAATGTGAGGAATGGGAATTCATCTTTTCCTTTGTTGAAACCAGAAGCCGGTGAGATATTGAATTTTGGTGAGAGTAAGCCAACTGGGAATACAAATTTGTTTTCAGGGAAGAAGAGATCGCCTACTTCAAGAGGGAGAAATGAAGAAGCCATGCTTCCATTTAATTCAGGTGTGCTTTTGCCTTCTTCTGTTGTGGTGAAATCAAGTGGGGGTGCTGGTGATTCAGATCACTCCGATATAGAAGCTTCTTTCGTTAAGGAGGCCGATAGTAGTAGAATCGTGGAGCCGGAAAAGAGGCCTCGAAAACGAGGGAGAAAACCGGCAAATGGAAGAGAAGAACCTCTGAATCATGTTGAAGCAGAGCGTCAAAGAAGGGAGAAGCTTAACCAGAAGTTCTACGCCCTGCGTGCCGTGGTTCCCAACGTGACAAAGATGGATAAAGCATCACTCTTGGGTGATGCCATTTCATACATCAACGAGCTCAAGTCAAAGCTACAAAATGAAGATGCTGAGAAAGATGAGTTGCATAACCAACTAGAAAAAACGAAGAAACAATTGTCATGTACAGCACAACCAGCACATGATCAAGACCACAGGATGTCTAGCCACCTTGCCAGTAAACTGATAGATTTGGAGATTGACGCTAAAATTATCGGAAGGGATGTAATGATCCAAATCCAATGCAGTAAAAAGAACCATCCAGCAGCAAGGTTAATGGATGCGTTGAAGGAGTTAGACCTGGAAGTGCAGCATGCCAGTGTATCAGTAGTGAAAGACTTGATGATCCAACAAGCTTCCATGAAGATGGGGAGTCGGTTTTACATGCCGGAGCAGCTAAAGATTGCCCTAATATCGAAGCTCGGAGATGGAAGATAGAGAGTATTCAGCAGAGCTTGATCCGAAACAAGCAACTCGGATCATTGGCTGCATGGCTCTGGGACATTTTAAGGCTCCCGCTAAGCTCTGTAAAAATAGTGCTCTTCTAGTTTGTTGGCAATAGTATTTAGTGTAGTTATTAATAGTTTGAGGTGATCCTAGTCAAGTATGTGTTGACTTTAATGTATATAGCTTGTAATGAATTTAACCTGAATGAACAAGTTCTGGTTTGTTTTAATTGTTCCTGGTAACATTGATGTGCTTGCTACCATTTTTGTTGAGAATAGTCTTGTTGGATGTTGATGCTTTTATGTTTTCAATTCAGAATTTGGGCAATTTGGTTCCCTGTTTTTGCATCTGTTACGGTGGACATTTTTTACTGGAAAAAAGCTTTGTTTTTTATCTATGAGGATTGCATGTGAAGCCTGTCTTTCTCCACCACAATTTCCTTCGATGCACAAAAAGGTGTTTTGTTTGCTTCTGGGCTAAAAAGAGATGTGATGATGATCAACATGAGGGAGCGAGCGAATAATGGTTAACCCCCCACACTTTGAATACTTGTTCTTCACCCACCCTTTTTGCCACGCAAGCTTGATTTCTATGCATGGGGTCAGTTTTGTAAATAAAAATTATTGGTTGGAACTAATAGATTATAAAGGTTATAAGTGATTTAATCCTTTTTTATTTGGATGAAAATCGTCCCGGAGATAACAATCGTTAATGGATATAAATGCTTTCAATTTCTATGATGAGATAACATATTAGTAAGCGAGGTTCAGGTGATTCTATCTCTTTACTCAATTTTGGACGAGAGATTTTATAATAACTCTTAGAATCAATGTTAGATGTAAGACCATCATGACTGGAATAACAGGTTGGGTGGATACGGTAAGGTAAGAATAACCTTCGATAGGTCATGTGGTCAGTGAGAGATCATGTAAAGTCGTAGTTTCCCGAAAGTTATATCTTTTTTCTAGAGATATTCTCTTTACGTCTTCTGAAATTTTCAGGGATGTTGAGTGTTTGAGTCTCTTTTTCCGAAAAAGCTCTTTCATGATGGTAACTGCGGGAAAATTCTCTAGAGGCATGGAGGAGAGGATATGGGGAGGTTGTTTGAAGAGGTGTAACAAGAATAAATCATGAAGCTTAATTTTCATTTTCATTGTAAGTGATAACCAAGATTCTGGTGTCGTTTAACTATTGAACTATAAACTAGACTTCTTTCCTGGTTTAACATAGAATTTTGAAACGCAAGTGTTGAATATCAACAAATAACACGTTTTTGTAATCTAAAATGAATCACGCCATTGTTGATTAAATAACTGGAATTCATATCATTTTTGGTAAGCACGAAATAACTGGGATGTATTAGCCGTATTTTGCAGAGAAAATTGAAGGAAAAGATAACAGAATCGATGTACGAAACAAGGCTTTCATTATCTGGTTTGGAATAAAAATAAAACAAAGCTTGGATTTTGATTTGAAAATGAGATTAGGGTTCTCTTGCTACACATATTCAACTACTAGAAATGTATACATTAAATATACCTTTTTCTTTCTGAATTGCTTTTGGCTTTAGTTTAGCCCCCACTCCAAGTAGTTAAAAACCTGAAATAAATGAGTCCATCCATATATGATGAAATTGAAGTTTATCCTCTCGTATTCTTACGGCTCCGACTCCCCACCAGCTTAGGTTCATTGCCGTAGCTATGTATGGGGTCTAGCATATCATCCATTATGGGTTATGGGCATATACTCCTAGTGGTGAATTTGTGCGCACGAACCAACTTACTTCAATAGATAAAGGAATTGTTGTTGTTATTAGAGATCATAAGTTCAAGCACAAAAAATTATATGATTAAGCGTTCATTGTCAAATGGTTGAGAATTTTTAAAACAAATATTACTTTGTAATCACCTTAGCCTAATAAAAATAATAATTTTGGGTTAGTGTTCTTTTTCATGAACATACATCAATATAATGTGAAGATATACACAGATACAATTAGAAGAACATCATCTAAAAAATAATATGCTAATGGTCAATAACGTTTGGGTTAGTGTTCGTTTTCACCACTAATGTTTGAAAAGTCATAAATCGGTCACTAACATTATCGTTTGTTATAAAATGATCACTCAACGTTAACAATCGTCAAGAATCGTTACTGTAGTAATGGAATGCTGACATGACGCGTTAAACCAGTTGATTCAGCATGTTTGACTGACTATTTGACTCTTCATCTTCTTCTTCTAAACCGTTAAACTCGAAACCGCAATGGTTAGTTCCCCTACAAATTTTTGTCAACTTGCTTCCGATACAATCCACCATAACCCTACGGATCTCACCTTGTGGGTTAGTTAATGTCCTTTTTTCACATCTTTCATGCAGCTCTAGAAGCTGAGAAGCTAGAGTGGGGAGATTCAGATCAAATTAACAGGATTTTACACATATATTCTGGAGGTTTCAATTTGATACTTAGCGTAAATATCTATATCCTAATTATGTTTAATTATTTCTTTTCTCAAGAAATTTATAAATTACAATGCCGAAGATTGAGCTTCTGAATGATGAAATTTTGATTATCATAATTACCTGAGAATTGAACACAAATTTAACATTATCGTTCCATTTAACCTGTCTCTTTCTATAAATATATTTGCAGTCAGTTTGCATTATATGTTGTCTGCTTAGCAGATGTGTGTGTTGAAGTATGAAATGCATTGCTAAGTTACATGTTGCATTGCTACGCTGCTTGCTGTGCATGAGTTTGTTAAGCAGCTATTAAGAGTTTGTTATAGGTTTGCTTACACTGCGTTTTAAGTTGGTAAAAGAGGCAGTTAGAGTTGTTATTCAACTTAGTATATAAACACCTCTTGTTTAGAGTAAATTGCAGCTTTTGATATTCAATAAAAAATGATTTTGAAGTTTTCTTCTTCTCTTTCTTTTGTTTTGCATTACATAGTAGTTAAGACTATATCATAACATGATATCAGTCACCATTTCCTGGAGGTTTGTTCTTCGCTGTGTGGTTTTCTGCTGCTGGTTTGATTGAGTTCTTGTGAAAGATGCATCAGATCAAGTGTGTTTTTTCTTGCTTGTTTTTGAGTTTGTTGTGGTAAGAGTCATGGCTGACCCACAGGTAGTATCTCCGGTGAATTACCCTGGGAATTCCTTGGTGTTTCCCTCTAATCTCTCTTGTGTTCAACATATTCCCAAACATGACACGGTCAAACTGACTGAAAATATGTATTTACTTTGGAAGCATCAAGTAGCTCTTATTCTTGATGGTTATGGTTTAATGAAATACATTACTCCTGATAGTGTTGTTCCGAGTGAGTGGATTACAAAATGAGTCTAGTTAAGTTGAGGAGAATCCAACTTTTGTTTTGTATAGACATCAAGATAAATTGCTAGCGTCTTGGTTATTGACAACAGTTAGTGTGGATGTTTTACCTCACCTTACAGGGATAATGTCTTCCCTTACTATTTGGAATGCAATAGCACGATTGTTTGGAGCTAGGTCTAGTGCTAAGATTTCTGTACTTAGACATAATTTGCACTCTCAACGAAAAGCAAGATTGCCTGTAAGTGAATATTTGGCAAAGGTAAAGTCTTTATGTGATATGTTAAATGCAGCTGGATGTGTTGTTACTGAGCAGGAGCAGATAATTGTGCTTGTTGGATTATCCATGGAGTTTGAATCCATTATTTCTATTGTATCTCGTGATACTTTATCATTAGATGTACTTATTGAGATGTTTCTTGATTGTGAAGCTCGGCAGAAGGTTTTTCTTAGTGATAGTATTTCAGCCAATATAGTGGTTCGTTCGAGTAATACTCGTGCTTGTGATGTGCCAGTTAAAGTTGCTACCGATGAAGAGATGTGTGAGAAACAATCTTCTCATATAAGAGGGCATCAAGGTAATAGTTATCGTGGGCATGGTCGAGGACGATTTAATGGATCAAATCGACATCAATGTCAGTTGTGTGGTAAGTTTGGTCACACTGTTCAAAAAAGCTATCATCGATTTGATAGGGACTTCACTGGTATCACTACTGGAGAGGCTATGCATAGTGATGCTTGGAAGAAATCTTCGAGTCGAATGTTGATAGTCACTTATCTCACTCACCTTCTCCTAAAATGCAAGCTTACACGCATTTTATGGCTTCCCCTTATCCAGCTGGTTTGGTATATCCATCTTCCTTGTATCTTGGAGCTCCAGAACTATCAACTCCATTTTATCATTGATTTCCATACTCATCATTTGGATCTTTTCCTGCGGATACTCGGTATAACTCATCCACTCCAAATGTGCCATTAGCAGCGTTTGTTTCTATTTTTCCTGGTGCTTCTTCGAGTGTGTAAACTTAGTCTACTGCTGCTAATGCATTGTGGTATCCAGATACTGGTGCTACTCATCATATTTCAAATGATCTGTCAGTCTTTGATCCAGGGACTACCTATACAGGTAATAGTACCCTTCTCATGGGCAATGAAAAGGGTGTTTTAATCACTCATATTGGTCAAGATTACTTGCAGTCTAGTTTCAAGCCTTTGATCTTGCAAAATATGCTTCATGTTCCTGATATTAAGAAGAAGTTAGTGTCTTTTTCTTAGTTTACAAGTGATAACAATGTGATTCTTGAATTTCATCCATTCGAATGTTTTATGAAGGATACTCAAACTCAGACCATTATGTTGCAAGGGAAACTCACGGATGAAAGACTATATCAGTTATTCCTAGGGTTGAGAAGGAGTCTAGATGTCTTTTCAATAATGTGTCAAGATCACAAGCTCATTTGGATATGTGGCATAAAAGATTAGGTCATGCTTCTGTTAAGACTGCGAAGGCAGTTATGAAATTGTGTAATGTGACTTATGAGTGTTTAGAATCGTTAATCTTTGCTCGTTATTTCTTTGATTTTGTGGAATTATTACTGCTGATTTGGTCATGTTTTTCTTGTTTTCGCACAGGTCCTTACTTTCCAGAATTAGTGACAAAACAGGCGCATTCTGTATTTTTTTTATTATTTGGTCAAGGCTGGAGACATGGGCATGACACAGTCTGACGTGACGATTTCTAGAAGGTCCAGTCAGCGGCGGTTTCTAGAAGGCTTCCTCTACACGCCTTCTGGAAGATGGATAAGCAGAGTTGCATTAGGAGACTAGTTTAAAGTTTGAATTTAGAAGAAAAAAAATAATTATCTTTAGGATTATTTTATTTTCTTTTCTTTGTT